CCTTAATTTATAGGGGAAATAGTAAGCAGTAAAATGAATCTATAAAACTTAAAACTATTTACATCAAAAATTTTAAACAGTCTTTACTTGCAAAAGAAAATTTCCAAAGTAAACAGAATAATTTTCTTTCAAAAATATATTCTCACACATACACATACACACACACACACACACACACACACAACACTCATCGAAGTTTTCTGGTCATCTCCTAACTCGTATTTATGGTCTCAAAGCAATGTCCAAAAATATCTCCAACTCTATAAAGTCGCTAATAAGATTCGTACATCATTTGAGTTTTCAAAAATGAAGAACAAAAAACCACAATGTTGACAAAGAAAAATCCCACAACCCTTACCTTTCAAAGGCAATCATAAAAACTGAATCAGCAATAAAAGGTTATGGAGACGGAAAGCCCTAACTAAACATGAAAGAGTCTTCAGAGTCATGAATAATAGTCAAGCTTGCTGGAGAGGTATTTATCAAGGGTAAAAAGGAACAATTTTAGCCCAGACTTCACTGGAAGTATATTTTATGAAGTCTTTCAATATCTACTCAGACAAATCAGAGAATAATAAAGCTTTTACATGGTCTGATTTTATGTATCTACTGTCTGTAGGGAGCTCTTGCGATCTAGTCCATAGGCAGTTGTGCTGCTAACCCAAAGCCACACCTCTCTCAGGCACTGCAAATCCACCAGAGGCACCAAGGGAAGATGGGCAATCTCCTCCCCTTTGATTTACAACCTCAGAAACTCAAGAGAGCATGAGCTATGGGTCAGTTTGAACTGACAACTCTGAGTTTTTAAGTCTGTTAAAACTTTATGTTAACCTCAACCGTAGATTTTCATCGTTTGAAATGGTTTTTTTTCCCAACAGGCCCTAATTGTAGAAACCAAAGGTTTAATTTATGGACTACAGAGCTCCGGTAAGCTAAGTGGTAAGGACATTCACTGTCAAACCAATGGCACGCAATTCTATTCCACCAGCTAGCTGCTCTATAGGACAAAGACAGACTGGGGAATCAGCTAAGAGTTGGTTCCAACTTGACAATACCTAATAGTTCCACTTGTGATTAGTATTCAGGAATCAATGGAGTTGTAAATTAATTAGGTGTCATCTACATAGAGAATTCAACTAACTTACAATGAATCAATAATATGAATAGAAGTAAGTGTAAAATGCTTTCTATACTGTATCTTTGTAATAAGATTTAAATAACAATAAGACCAAATTAGCATTGGTCATTCAATACAACCATATAAGGCTGAATTATTCTTATTTTATCAATGGGAAACTGAAGTACAGAACATTTTCCCAATTTGCCAAAATCAGGGAGTTATAATGCAAAGCATCAGATATGAACCCAGGCCAGTTCCAAATCTCACACGCATAAGGACTCCATAAATCCATCAATGTTTGTATTTTATGATTAACTTTTCATTAAAAATTTTAAACTTTTCCTTTAAAAAATATAGAAAGTATAATGAATGGCACAGAGTAGACAAAAATTTGTTAAATGAGGAATTCTTAAATTTCTGTAAAGCTGCCCTTATTATGCATATACACATAAACGTATTTTCCTCCAAGATGTCCTTCCATTAAAAAACGTGTGCTTGGGATAACCCATCTTCCTTCACACCAAAAAGATATTAAAATATTTATGAAGCATCTGCTCGACCTGTTCATCTTTTAAATGTAACTATTTCACATTTTTGCTTTTAAAAAATTGTTTAAAATTTGACATAAAGACAAATTTGTATATTCAACACGTTAAGGTAAATTATACGTTAACTACACACATATCTGAAATCAGAGTTCCAATGTACCTTTATGCCTATATTCAGTAGGTCTCAACTGGACATGATTTTTTGCTCCACAGGCTTCTAGCAAGGTATGAAGAGATCTGTGGTTGTTATAATGCAGGAGGGTTAGGGAATCCTGCTGAGCTGTGGTGGCTCAGTCTTAAACTGCACTACCACCTCAAAGGCCCATGGTATGAATCCACTAGCTGCTCTGTAGAAGAAACATAGGCAATCTCTTCCTGTGGGATTTATAGCCTCTGAAAACCTTATGTTGTTGTTGTGTCGTCGAGTCGCTTGCGACTCATAGCGACCCTA